AAAGAAATTTAGAAATGGAAAGCTGTTTCTGAAAAATATAAAATCTAAACCTTGTTACTTACTTACTTTGGCTTTTCTTTTTTAAATAAAGATTTGTGGTAAAATAACCTTAAATATAATACCTGCTGTTAACATAGGGCATCATTTGTCAGTGCTTGTAATAGAAATATATAAGTATTTTAACTTGAATGTGTTCAAAGAATTTAAGAGTTTTTTAAAGCTATACTCCAAGTTTTCACTGTTTAGTTTTTAAAAAATATAATTTGGGTCTCTGATAACCTTAAAAGATAGTGAGGTTCAGATAGAGATCATTTCCTGAACATGGTTGACCTCTAACAGAACTAATTATTTCCTCACCCAAAGAGTTATACAGGATACTGCCAGATCTCCACTACAAAAATCTTGTACTGTTAGACAATGTTTACCATCCATTTAAAAGCCTTGTACCACCAGAGGCAAAGCACATAAAAGTGAAAGTAAACTTGTTTCTAGTCTACTTATCCCAACTAAACTCTTATGAAACCATATGGAAAAATTAATATATAGAAAGTAATTTCCTTATTTTCTGATCTGTCAGCAAAAAATTACTAGTTTTCTGTAAGAACAGAAAACTCAATAAAGTGTCTACCTGTTTAAATTAAAATGATAATCCTGGTGTCTTTTAACATCAAGACATTAAAAAAAAAAAGCTTACAAACTCAAGATGATGCTTGAAATGAAAGCTATGGTTCAAAAATGTTGTGTTTATGTTAAGAGACTAAAATTGTGTCACTGCAAAATTCCCTATGGCTTTTGGCACTGACATTAAGAGATTTTAGTCTTTTGGTCACTTGAAGTTGTTACTAAATATAACAATAAGCCTTTAAAAAGGGGGGGAAATACAGTAAGGAACTGAAGGATAGCTAAGTAACTACATCATATACAAAGTAAAGCATAGTTTGAAATAAACAGTCATTTTCTGCTAGGGATCTGAATATACAAGAACAGTTTACCACCATTGCTTCCATTTTGAAGAGGATCCTCTAATCAGAAAGAATTCCTTTAAGTTACTGTGAGTGGTGTTGCCTGGCAGCAGCTTCAATTTCCTAGGCTAGTCTTCAATCCAAGTAATTAAGTACTCTCACAAGGAATAATCATACATGGCAATAGGGTAAAAAAGCAGGGCAGTTCTTCCATGCACAAATATTTCAGGAGAAAAACCTTCAACTTTAAAGATAACCATCAGGTTTAAGGTATTCTAGCACACTTTAAACCTTAAGTTTTGTTTTATACCATTGGTGACTAAAATTAACAGTAAGTTTTATGGTGAATTTTTGTTTTTGCTTGCAACTATATACAAATTGAAAAACTATTCTGCATCACATGATTTTTAAACGAAATAAATATAAAAATGAACCATATAATCAATACATAACTTTAACACTCCACATTATTTAATCTTGATCACAATGATGGTAACCTCCTGGTCAACAATCTTGTGAGTTGAGGAGCTGATTCTCATTCTCATATCCATCAGGCAGATATGCTCTCCTCAGCTGGTCTGACTTAGGTATGGAGCCTCCATTCTTCACATGGCGAGACAGGAAAGCACGGACGGCTGGGTGATCAGCCTTCTCAAGTGGGATGTTGGCTTCCAGGCACATTTTCACAAAGTCCTGGATAACACTGACTTTCTCTGTTTGTGCAGTACTGTTGCACTGAAGGGATGCAGTTAGGGGCCTTTGCTTCTTTCTCACATTCTGCTCTTCAAATTCTGCCTTCCTCTTGGTATGAGTCTTTGACTTGAGGTGGTCACTAATGGCAGACTTGCGAACATGATTCAGAACCACATTGCAAGAAGTGCAGAAGAGTTTTCCTCCATCTTCATGCAGCTCACCTCCAAACTCAGTGACTCGATCCAGGGGAGTCACATACAAAGCAGTCTTAGAACGGTTTCGAGCAGGTGGTGCTGTCACTACAAATCTTTCCATTTTGACTTTGAATAAGGTTCTTTCAAGACAAGAAAAAACGTGTTATAACAACAGTTCATTTGGGAAGCAGTTAACATTTTTAAGATTATAGATTTCAGAAAACTTAATTTAAATTAATAGATCGTGTACCCATTACTAGTAACAACTACATCCATTCCTTGAATTTGATGAAATTCAAATAAATTTAAACTATGAAAAAAGAATTACACCTATTTCAGATGTCACTATCTTTTAGAAAAACCTAATCACAGGTCAGTATTTAGGGTATTATATTAATTTCATTCAATTTAGATATGTATTCAAGTTTAAAAGAGCTTCTTTTTTTTTCACGGTTCTGGGGCAACTGATTTTAGGAACACAATCATAGGGAATTGTTAACAAAGTTTGTTCAAACAGGGGGATAAATAAACTGGCATAATTGTATATGAAAGTAAATATAATTTCCACAACTGCTCAGAGAAAAAAAGTATAAGCCAAGAAAGCAGACCAAACACAAGTAACATCAGAAACAATATCATTATATTTTAAAGCAAAAATAGAATTCAAAGAATTAATGCATATATACACCTCTATTAAGTTTTCCAAAAGGTGATGATCAAGATATATGCAGTGTTTTTTCTAACACTTTTTTCCATTAAAGACTAATATTCACATCTATTAATTTATTTCATTTAACTAGTCAGCTAGAACAAAACCAAAAACTCATTAACATAGTGCCTAGTATATGATAGGTGTTCAATCACAATTTGTTGATGGAATAAATAAATGATTATCTTTACTATTTTTTCATATATTAATCTCAGAAGCAGCTTAATCATTTCAAAATTTATCCTAATTGCAAACATTTATGATCACTGCCAAAACCAGTGGCACTGAAAACTTGAGATATTGAACAAATATTGTTGGTGGAGACCATCTGTTTCCTGAGGCATGTGCCTTTGGGTTAAGCTCTTACATTAACCTAGATATAAGAAATTCCAATGAATTTGAAAGAATTGAAAATAGAATTCTGTTCTATAGAAATATGATAGGTACCATGTTTTCTTTATAAGTGTAATCAGAAACAATGGTGTTAATCCACGTTAGAGAACTTGTAGCTGAGTAATATTGAAAGCTATCTCAAAATAACTTTAAATTGTCTATGGACATAAACTCAGAGAAGGACTTAATGTTTTACATAAATTCTGAAAAGCATGATAAAACTTAGGTTTTAATAGGATTAATTCAAATATTCTATTAACACGTTGAGTGCCCAGCCTGTTTTGTCTTTGGGAGGGAAAGTATAGTGTCAGTCACCGGTGACTGACAGGGGGCTTAACGTGTTAAAAATCTGTTTAATGTATAGCTTTCATGTGCCAAATATTGTGTTGGCTACAGGTGTTCAATGGCAGATAAGGCAGATATGATTCCTGCCCAATAAACAGTCAATTACCATTATATGTGTGTACCTTAAGTTAATGATTTATATTTTATACACCTATAGCAAATCAGTCCCAATTATTAATGGCTCTAAACTAGTTATAAAACAACATTCAATATTTGTGCCCAGTAATGCCTAAATCTTTCAATGTGAAAAATCTTCTGTCTTTAAATAGTTTAATTTCAAACTTTAAAAAATGTTCGTTATTCTCTGAGGAATAAAATGCGCAATTACTTGTGATAATGTGAAAGGCCTACACATCCAATGTCTTGTAACTTTCAAAAGTCTGTTTGTGTTACTGCAAAAGCAAACATCTACCCAGCAGAGGATGCTTGAGTTTACAGACCTGAAGAACAAAAGTGTTTTCAAGAGAAGGTAAAGATATTTTAAGCGCGGACGAAGTTAAGAGCAGGAATTAGCTAACAAAACAGAAGCAGCAAATCACTTACTAGAGCAAAACAGAAGTCATCCGTTTTCAAGTTTAAATGTTTACCTGATGAGTTTCCAGTTTTTTCCGTCTGGATACTTACTAGTAAAGGGTCCCAGCGCAAGACCAGAGATGCATGAAATCCTGGCACTTTCCGTTGGTTCCAACCGGAGACGCTTTCAAAATCCGTGTTTCAACAAGTGGTGGTGGGCAAAGAGTTTCTGGGCTTGCACCCTGTTTTCCCTGAGATGCGGGGAAGTCATGCCTTTACTGCAAAACACAAAACAAATGGGAAGAAAAAATGGGGGTAGGGAGAAAAAGAAGGGCGGGCGAAAACGTGAACAGGGACACCAACAACCGCCACCACGCAGGTGTCTTTAAAACCTCTCTCTTTAGGGAACTCGACACCGCAAGTCCCGACCCCAACGCGGACCCCAACACTCCGAAGCCCGCTCCCTTCCCGGCGGCCCGCCCCGCCTCGGCACCTGGCCGCGCGCCCCGGGCCCCAGGGTTCCGGAGAGCGAGGGGAAGGCGGGGCGCGGGGCGTTCTCGCCGTCTAGACGCCCTCCTCCCGCGCCAGCCCCAGCACGCCGGGCCCCGCCGCCCCAGCCCCGCTAGCTGGGCAGGGCCGCGTCCCAGCTGCCGGCCGTGGGCCCCGCCACTAGACAGCCTAGTTGGCGGCAGTCTCAGGGGAGGAGGCGGTAGGCGCCTGACGGGGCGGCCGCTGTCAGGCTTCCCGTCTCCTCCCCCTTCCATCCGCCGACTACGACGCCCCGGCTCCGCCCCCGGCTCCCGTTCGGGCAGGAAGGCCCCGGGCCCAGAGCCTGCACCAACGGCCGGGCCCACCCTCGGCCTCCCTAGCTTCTCGTTACCGTAGGATCCGGGCGGCCTCTAGGGGAAGTGGACGAGAGCCGGCCAGAAAGGAAAGGAGGAGGAAGAGAAAAAGGAGCAAGAGGGTGAGGGAAGAGAAGGACTTGTCGTCGTTGCCGCCGCCGCCGTTGCCCGGTCGAGCCCCGCGGCGGCCGCCGTGTCCCCCACCGCGCCCCGTCCTCCCGCACCGCCTATGGCAAAGCTCGTAGGCGGGCCCCAGCAACCGCCGAGCAGCGGTGGCCAATTGACAGCGGAGCTGTCAAACAGACGGATGCCTTGACCAATGGTAGTAGGAAGGCGGGCATGTGCATGATTGGCGGCTAGATTTCTCCATTGAAAACTAGGGGCGTGGGTGGGCGGAGCCGGAAGTAGAGCCAGACGAGAGGCCCCCGTCCACCAGGGGCGGAGAGAAGGGGGAGGGAACTAGAGGAGGAGGAGGTTAGCCGAGGCTGCTACAGCGGCGGCGGCGGCGGCGCAGGGGCTGGTACGCGCTGGGCGGCGAGAGCCTCATGGCGGAGGAAGAGAGCGATCAAGAGGCCGAACGCCTCGGAGAAGAGCTCGTGGCCATTGTGGAGTCCCCGCCAGGCCCTGCGGGGCTTGGAGTTGCGGGCGACGGCAACGACGGCACTGGCGGCAGCAGCTGCGGTGGCGGCGTCGTCGGGATCAGCAGTCGGGATTACTGCCGACGCTTCTGTCAGGTGAGGCGCCCGTCGGCCGCTCGGACTTGTCACCCGGGTACTGGGCCTCCCTGCGTCTCCTGGCCTCCTCGTCCTCGAATCAGGGCTGTGTCCGGTGCTCACTCCGCCAGCCCAACAAGGAGAGTGAGGGTGAAGCTCCCCCCTCCACCTATCCGGCTTGGGGTGGGGGGCGGGGAGCGGGGAGCGAGACGGGCATGACCCGTGGGTCTAAGGGTTGCTGAAAAAGTGAGAGTTTGTCGCGGGTGGAGAGGCTGGAGCGGAGGGTCAGCTGGCAGGAAAGCGCTGGAGTACTGACATGCCTCCCCTTCCCCAGACAGACCCCTTTCTGCCCGAGGGTCCCGCCTTCTTGTGCTTCCCACCCAGTTCCTGCTCACTTCATTTGGAATCTCTGGCAACATTTCCTGCCTTCCCTTCTCCGCCCCTGGTGCCCCCGCGGACCCCCTTTTTCGGAGATCGGGGCTTGCGGTGTCTCTGCCGCTCCCTCTCCTGTCATCGCCACCCCTCCCCCTCTGCTAGGGTCTCCTGTCATCCCTGCACGAGACCCCGCCGGGACAATTCTGTTGGTTTAGGCGCTGACCCACGGTGTTTTCGATACTTTTTTTGGGGGGGTGGGGGGAAGGCGGGGTTAAGACAGTGTGATTGTCATCTTTTCTTTTCTTATCCCCTTTCCTCGACCGAACAGTGACAATTAATTATTTACTTGGTCAGTTGTCACTCTGATTTGATGTAGTTTCAAGTGTTTGGCCATAATCAGATGTTATAGCACCAAAGTACTTCTAAGGGTAAAGTTGTGTCATCTACATTCACATCTACATATATTTATAAATATTTTTTCTCATTCACAACAGTCTTGTTTTGCAAACTGTTTCGGCAGAAAGTTTTACTCTTTTTTTTTTTTAAACCCCTTCTTTTATTTATTTATTTTTTAATTTGATCATTATCTTCTGAATAGAGTTCAAATCATGGCTCCACCACTTCCTAGTTGTTACCTTGGACAAGTTACTTAATCTCTCTATCCCACCGTTTCTTCTTCTAACAAATGGGTTTGGATCCTTTACATATTAATTAAAGTTAGCTATTTCATTCTGTTAACAAGTCGAAAATAAAGTTAACAGGAAGTAAGCATCATATTTGCTGAAATTTGATTTTTATGCCTTTCCAAACATTGAAAGGGAAAGGATGGATTTGAAATTTTCAGGCAAGTTTTTAATACTTTAAACTGTCTTTTGATTTTTGGTTCATTCCTTCTTATCATAAATAAGAAGGTGGAAACTGTCTTGGTATAAAGGGCGTGTATTTTTTCTTTGGCATTGCTCTCTATTTAGTGACTTTCTTGAAAATATTTTTTCTTATTTTTATTTATTTTGGTAGTGGCATTCACTGGATTTAGAGGTTCAGTGTCTTTACAATACTTGTTTTCTAACTATATGTTTTACATCTGGAACCCATGTTATCGGTAGACTTCGTATCTATGGGAATTTTAAACATCTGAAAATTAGTTTATGATTGATCTTTTTAATATATTCATAGGCTGAAAATCTTTTCATTTTCTCTTTTGCTTTTTTAAAATATATTTTTATTGATTTCAGAGAGGAAGGGAGAGGGAGAGAAAGGTAGAAACATCAATGATGAGAATCATTGATCAGCTGCCTCCTGCATGCCTCACACTAGGGATAGAGCCTGCAACCCAGGCATGTGCTCTGACCAGGAATCCAACAGTGACCTCCTGGTTCATAGGTCAGTGCTCAACCACTGAACCACACCGGCTGGGCCTGTTTTCCTTTTGATATCATTAATAAGCAAGTTGGTTTTGGTTACCTTTAGCTTTAATTTACTTGATCAAATAACCCTTAATTGCTGAAATTGCATTGAAATTTTATTTGAGGGCCAGAACATTTTTGGAGAATCTTTAACTCTTATTATATTTCTTGAAATAGTTTTGAGAACAGAGAATAAATTTAGCCTGTGAAATACAGTGTCTGAACAGTGACAGTAAATTATTTTAAGTACCAATGAAGTTGGCTATTTTAAAAAACTCCAGTACCACCTAAATATACAAGGAAATAAAACTAAACAGGAAGAACTTAAACTTTTATTTTTACATTGCTAAGTTATGAGTTAAGTTATGCTGACATACTTTTATGCTACCAACTTTTACCTGAAACCTTACATGTTTTATAATATTCTAGATTAGCAATAGATCTGTTCTTAGGGCTCTTGTCCTGGATCCACCCTGTAGGTGAGCTTTGTGAAGTTTTTTTTTTTTTTTTTTGTACTAAAACATTAAGATAGAATAAAAGATTACCTATGTTAAGTTGAATTTTATGCATTGATTAATAAATTCTAACAGTATAGTAGTTCTGTTTTATTTGCCACCAAAGGAAGAAGTGGATTATGTAATCTAATTCCCAAAGATTGTTTTTTTTTCTTCTTTTTAACATTTGGTTTCCTAATATTTACTAAGGGTAAAGTAATATTAAGTAACTTGCACTCATTAGTGAATGACTTAATTGTGAGTAATCCATAAAATAGATAATATGCGCTTGGGTGGGTGACAGTTAATGAAATATATGATTTATACTCACAGTCTTGTGCACTGAAAAGAAAGGCTCCAATTTATATTTCTCCTTTTAGAAAGAAATCTGAATAAAAATGTCTTGGGCAGTTAGTTGTGTGGGTGAAGGGGAGGTTCTGTGTCTTTTACCACAAGGGAAAATACAACAGAAGACAGTAGGTAATATAAGTGATAAATTATGCATCCATTCAATGCATTTGAGGATATACTTCTTTACTTGAGAAACAATACCAGTAATTATAAAATCTTAGACTAAGGGAATAGTCCCTTAGGCTTAAACTGATTTTTGTGATGATGGATTTGGGAGATTGTAAGTGTTAATTTCCAAATAGTTACTTGTCGTAATGTCCACTAACTGCCCCTATCACATCCTCCCTTAACTCTTATTAGTGGACTCTCAACAAATGCTTAAATTAGCTCTTAATTTATATTTAATTTACTTTGAGGATGAAAGGAAGGGGAAATTAATTTTTATTGAGGGTCCTACTAACTCTTAAAGCCTTCAGATAGGTCCTGTTATGCAAGTTTCGTAGTTGAATTTGTCTTCATTTCTGGTAGGTGGACCAGCTGTGATTTGAATCCAGACTTCAATTTCTACTGAAAGGCAGATTAAAATTACAAATAAATTTGCAAATAATTATAAAGTGAATTATTTATGACAAGTTGTGCAAAGGGGAAAAAATAGTTACTGGATGTACTCAGGGAATCAAGGATGAGAAAGTCTAAAAGTAGTCTTTCATTAGGCCATAGTGTTAAAAATATTTCAAGGAACAGTCTGATTATTATTTCTCTGACTTGTTAGGTGCTGTGAACATTTCCCCTATTCCTGAAGATTATAATAATTGAACTTTTTTTTTGCTAGATGTATTGAAATGCTTTGATCATAAATTGATTGTAAACTAAACAAGTAGCTCAGTGCTAGAATGATTACAGTGAATGATAAGTATTTCTGGAAATACTTTGATATGTTGATTAAAATACTTTAAAATTGTTTCTTACTAAAATGGGGTTAATAGTCATCCCATGAGGATGTAATGAGTATAAAAGGAGAGAATGACCATGAAATGTTGAGTACTATACCTAGCATGGAGATAGACATAATTAGACAAAGGCTGTTAATATTTCTCATGTGAAATTCTTTGAAAATTTAAGAGGGACATTAGAGATAATTCAATCTGAAGGTCACTTATAGTTTGTATCCCACAAAAAACTTTAGAGAAAATTTAGAAATGTTATAATTCTGAAATTCTGTTATTTATCTAGAAAAGCTGAATGCTCGAATAAAGCCCTAAATAATTTGCAATAGCAGCTACATTTTCTCAGAGATTATGTTCCCTGCAGGGGACATTTGGTAATGTCTGGAGAAATTTTTGATTGTCCTAATTGGGATAGGTTGCTATTAGTATCTATTCTAGACAGTAGAGGACAGGGATGATGTTGAACATACAGTATGTGAAGCCTTGGTTCTTGTATGTCTCCCATCTAGAGCAATTCAGTTCTCTACCACGTTGTTCACATAAAAAAGTCTCAGTTTTCCAACAAAACTTGGGTTCTGACTTGACAACCCTTTCATGCTGATACTCTATGCTCAGTCACGTGTCTTTTTTTAAAATATATTTTATTGATTTTTTTACAGAGCGGAAGGGAGAGGGATAGAGAGTTAGAAACATCGATGAGAGAGAAACATTGATCAGCTGCCTCCTGTACACCCCCAATTGGGGATGTGCCTGCAACCAAGGTACATGCCTTTGACGGAATTGAACCTGGGACCCTTCAGTCCATTGGCCGATGCTCTATCCACTGAGCCAAACGGGTTAGGCATCAGTCACATGTCTCTTACGTGACAATGGAGAGAATGCCTGAGTATGAGTCAGTTTACTGCTAAACCTTGTTCTGTTAACATCTCAGGAAATTGTGCTGTAAATATTTTTGTGTTTGTTTTTTTTTGCTTATGCTATTGCTTATTATTATTAAATACATGGATCCAAGTCACCATGGATCCTAATGAGGTTAGTGATAGCAGCAAAGTGAAAAAGAAGTTGTGAGAACAATGATAGAGCTTTAAAAAAGAAATAATTACAAAGTATGATAGAGGTGTTCATGTGTCTGATCTAGCTATGGAGTATGGCTTGGTGAAATAGGTGATTAGCACAATTTTAAAATATAGAGAGGCCATCAAGAGTACTGATATTGCTAAGGTGTGACAGTGCTCATGAAACAACCATCACTTGAGAAAGGTGAAAATAGGGAATCATTTGTGAGTCTGGAACAGATTAATTCAATTTACATTATTTCTAATGGGAAAAATGATTAGGTTTTCAAACAAATTGCTTCTTGAATAGCCTTCTGGAACTATTTACGTTAATTTTTAACAATGCTACTAATTAGAATTATTTTAAAATTCACTTTCTTTAAGGATATTTTT